AAAAAAAAAAAAAAAAAAAAAGCACAAAGTTTCAAATATGCAGGATGAACAAGTTCTGAGCCCTAATGCACAGCACGGTGACTGTGTTTCATATTGTATTGTATACTTAAAGTTTGCTAAGAGAGCAGACCTTAAATGTTCTTACTGCACATACGAAAAGGTACCTATGTGAGATGATGACTATTAGCTTGAATGTAATAAACAGTTAGTTCACTATGTGTATGTCTCAAAACATCATGCTGTACACCTTAAATATATACAATATTTATTTAAAGTTTTAAATTGAATTTTTTTAATGCTTTTCCGTGCTTTCTGTCTACCCTCCTCACTTTCCATTCCCTCCTTAAGCAGCTCTGACCAGGTGCCCACCTCTACTGCTGTCCTTGTCTCCCCTCTGGTCCCTACAATCCATTCTCCATGGAGCCCCTTGTAAAACCTCAACCAGGTCTTGTCATCTTCTTTTTAAAATCCCAGTGATTCGGCTCGGTGGCTCAGCCTGTAATCCCAGCTCTTTGGGAGGCCGAGGCAAGTGGATTGCCTGAGCCCATGAGTTCGAGACCCACTCAGGCAACTTGGCGAGACCTCATCTCTACAACAAATAAAAAATTAGCCAGGCGTGATAGCGCACGCCTGTAGTTCCAGCTACTTGGAAGGCTGAGGCAGAAGAATCGCCAGAGTCCAGCAGGTCGAGGCTACAGTGGCTGGGAGCATGCCAATCCACTCCAGTCTGGGTGACAGAGTAAGACTCTAACTCCAAACAACAACAACAAAAACCAACAACAACAACAAAAGCCTCAGTGGCTTCTCATCATCTTTAGAATAAAATCTGAAGTGTCGATCCTGGCCTCTGCAGAGCTACTGAACCTCTCAGATCCTCACCTGTAAGTGGGTCCCATAAGGCCATTTCACACATATGTTGTGAAGACTAAATGATGGGGGCTGCAACACAGGAAATAATGTGTGAATGATTATCGTTGCTTCAGCTCCATGTTTTGGCAAAGATATTTGTGAGTTACCTTCCAACCTCAGCATTTCATATGCTGTCAAACCTGCAAACCTGAAAGACACATACCTTTTTCCGTTCTGTTCCCCCATTCCATCTCCCTCTCCACTGCTCTGTCTCCTGAGCCTCTGCACCCTCTATCCTTCTCTCAACCTCTTTAGTTTTCCCATAGGAAGACGGAGCATTGAGCAGAGTGATGACGTTGTGAAGAATGACTGAGTTGTATATGGTTGCACGAGAAGAGAGAATGGGATGCATGCAAGGAGCTTTTTGCATGCTCCATCAGATTCTTTTTCCATCCTATCTCTCAGAGTGAAATACTGGTCTGGTGATGGAATGGTGGTGCAGTTGTAACATCTGTCACTGCAGTTCACCTAGCAGAATTTCTACGGACAAGTTTGCTTTTAAATGTCCACAACCTGGATGGATTTCCCTACAGCAAAGATATCTTCTTAAAAATGCCTGCTATTTAAAGGATTCTTTTGACTGAGTTACAATAGGAACCACATGTATTAGTATATGATTTTATGGCCCCCTGACACATTCACAAACCTGATCTCAATGAATTCTTCCAACAACCCACTTTACATGAGGAACTGGAGACCCAGAGACCCGGCAGAGTGAGAACTCTAACCTCATGCCTTCTGGCTCTAAATCTTATGTCATTTCTACTCTGCTTCTTCCAAGAGGTTATTGCCTTCATTTCTTGCAAAATTGGAGGGAAACAAGTCAAAAAAAAAAAGGGAAGAACTAAAATAGCAGAAGCTACTCTCTTTGCTGGGCTTTGCCAAGCCTTTAGGTAACATTTCCCCTGCAACATTTCCATCCTAGAAGAGCCGCCCAAGTCTCTCCTAGAGGGACCCGCCACAGCTTGCATCTCCAGAGAGCACTCCACATTCCGGCTTCCCTATCATCTGCAGCCTGGCTGACATCCCACTCCCTGGGGCACTGCCACCGTTTTCCCAACTCACTAATCAAGTCCACAGATCTCTGACAAAGATCCTGTGGATGCTGCAAGTAAGAGGGCTGAGGACACGTTGTCTCTGCTTTTCCAGGTAAAGCAGACAGTAGCCTTCTGGAGACAATGCCTTCTTTCTGCATGCTGGATCAACTGTGTGGCTCTGGGAAGGAAAAGAGGTCTACAGAATGAATGCCCCTGTTGGAGTTGCAGGGCATTTTGCTGGAGCACACAACGACTTAGAAACAATCAGAAGCCTGGGTTGACCCTAGGTCCATGAGCTCCCAGGAAGAGCATTCTTTGCCTCAAGAATAGGCCAGGAAAAGCTACTTTGTAAAACTGCGTTTATCAGCCTGACAAATTAAACTCAGACTTCTACCCACAGTTCTTTTCAGACTACCCACATGTAAACACATTTCAGATTGGGGCTAGAGCTGATATTTTCGGAAACAGACCCTGGCTTGGCCTCATCCCCAAAGACCCAGGTCCATCTCAAAACTTGGGCCAATTCCACACTGAAAACTCCAGGTTGGTGTACCTGATTCCAACAGTAGCCCTTCCTTGAAGGCCTTGGCAAACGGAAAACAAATAGCAGTGCACGCCAATACTGAAAATTTTTCTTTTGTGATAGGCCTATCTATGGTGGTTTCTATGAAGTTTTTGGACAGAGAAGAATTGGCAGAACACAAGGTTTTTTCTTGTCTGGCCCATGCTCCATTATGTGCACTTGGGCACACAATTACCTCATTGTTTAGTGTTGTGAAATATGGATAACAACGTTATTCCCTTCTTCTTAATGAGATTAATGAGCCAAGTGTTTGAAAGATGTCTTGAGAAGTTTGCTAGAAATTGTAAAGCAAATGCTTCCAAAACCATTTTCTCAAAAACCCAGTTTATCTAATTTATTGGTTCTAAAACTAAATGCAACTCTAAAACACCATTTCAAAAGAGCAAGACTACAATTCCATGTCTGCTATGAACATTGTAAGCAACCTTGACCAGTGAGCTCATGAAAACTATGTCTCCATCTGTGTCTTTCCATTTCTCTAACTTCACATTGCCAGAAACGTGCAGTTCATTTCATATGACATTTATTCAAGGTTAGGATAACAATCTAACTCTCTCTCCCAGTGACACATGTTTTCCTGTCCTTCCTGGCCCAAGGTCCATTTGCTTCCTTTTCTTTCAAAGCGCATTCGCTCTCAGTCATTTTGACGAGAAGGTCCCTGCTTCTAAGCTGAAGGTAAGTACCTTTTCCACTAATTTCTCACCATCTTTTGGGACCATGAATAGAGCAGCTAGGGCCAAATCTGAGAAAAGGTTATATTCAGAATTCCTCCTGATATCTTTTTATGGTCTTTCATCCATCTTAAGGGAGAATATTATTTTTTCTAATAAAGTATAACAATGATGTCTATTACTTTTTTGTCTAGCTAAGGCAATCCTCCCTATTAATGAATTTATTAGCTTCTCCATTAGTCTTTGTTAGGTTAAAAGTCCCAGTAGGCCTCCAAAATGTTAGGTTAGACCCATCGGGGGGTGTCTGTGATCAAGTCCTGAACATAGGATGCAAAGAACTGCACAGAAGTTAGACTGGAAAATATAGTTTATTTAGAAAGTAGATTAGAGGAGAGAAAGAGGAGATTCACCTACCCAAGGTAGGAGAGGGGGGTCAATGCTAAGAAAATATGGCAGCCATAGCTCAAAGAGCCACATGGACACACCAGAGTTTAACAAAGCAATGGCCACTGCTGCTTGAAGTCGAATGCGTTTCAGTCCTTCCCTTTGATGGAAGCAGGGCATTAAGGTGATTGGTGGTGGTCTGCTCCTTGTCATCACGGTGGGCAGGTAAGCAGAGGGATGGATGTCAGGGGATGGACGACATGTAGATGGGTGGTTTAGTTGCATGATTGTTGCCATGGTGATGGGGTCTGTCTGTGTCATGAAGACCTGGAAGGTCTGATTAGGTTAACTTGGGTCTTATGAGTAGAGGCAAATACTTGAAATAGAAAAGCTAATTAGTACAAAACGAGCTGGGGAGGGGATAGAAAACAATGATCAATAGCTACCTCTGAGAAATTGGTTCTGTCCTTGGCTAGTGATTAGAGGGTAAATTAAAGTGAACTGCTACAGAAATATGACAAAGCTAAGCAATGTTAAAGTGGCCTCTCCTTAGATATATTGACTCCATGTTATGTCCTTTCAGTCTTTAAATTATTATCAAGCTCTATGGGCCAGCTCTAGGATTATACCCAGTTTCTTCCTAATGGAATTAGGGGTTAAAAAAAAAATCATGCTCCTTTTATCATTGATGGAGATCAGCTTTTCACCTGATTAACTTTTCTGTTTGTAAGAGCACAGTGGTTCTGCTGCCAGGGTGACCAGAGATGCCAGCACATGGCAGGGTCCCTGCACCTCTTGTGTTTGGGTTTAAGCAACTTGACCAGCTTAACACACGTGACTGGGACAGTTCTGGGGCCACGCACACTCCTGTGCCTTTCTCACCCATGAGTTCAGCATTCCTCTGCCTTCCTAGGCAGCAGCACGGGGTGCAGGAGAAATAAGAATTTAAAGCGTATTCATGGTTGAGGCAGGGTAGCCAGCACAGGTGAGACACAGATAGATACGTTTCCTGTAGGCAGGTTTTAGGAAGCAATCAGACATGTTAAATTTCAAATACTGCAGGCCAAGCTGGCAGCCTACCCCACTCCCTCCACAAATCAAAAGAAAACCCCATCAGATGTAAAAATAGGCCAGCCTAACCTTTCAATTCATGGTTTAGCATAAAAATTACTAAGAATCTTTCAGGTTCCTTGTTGAAGGCAGAAGACCCGAATACCACCCCTTGACTAATGAAAGCCATAGAAATGGTGATAAGACCACCTTTTAGCTCATGAACTTGCGAATTGGAAATGTCTGGCAGGTCTCCTGCAAAAGACAGTGTGTTCTGAAAAAGACCATCCTCTCCCACTCCTCCCATCAGAAGCAGAGAGAAGTTTATCTCTCCCAGAATGGACATTACCTGTGTTCTACCCTCTTTAGCATATCAATTGTGAAAATATATCTAGTTTATTAGTTAAGAGCAGAAGCAATCTTCATTTTTTGAGAGGCTTGCACATGCCAGGATTTTCTGGTATGAAACTTTTACCTGGCCTTTCTTTCCTCTCTTCTTCTTGCTACACGCTCTGTTTTAAAACTTTGCGGCTACTCTGAAAAATTATTTCAGGGTCGAGTCAAAAAACCCATGGGTTTGCTCTGCACCCTACCTGGCATCAATTATCACATACTTCTACAAAGTGCTTTTCACTTGGAAAGGACGCAGTCACTGTGGATGTGAGAGGCTCACACATTTGCTTGGCTAGCTCTGTCAGGAGGACACGCATTACCTGGAAAGGACACCCCAGGGTTTTGATCAAAACAGTTCTTCTTCATATTTTTATTTTCCTGAACTGTCTTGAGACAACACTCCCCCTTCATCTCATATGCACACACACATTCTCACACACATATGTATACACATGCACATACACATACTTGCACACACACACACACACACACACACATACACAAAGCTCCAAAGCGACAGAATGAGAAAGGGTACAAGGGAGTGCCGAGACTGAGGCCTCCAGCAGACTGAAAGGAGGAGCACCCCTCGTGCATTCCCAAAGGAGTGGTCATAACCTCTGCTCATGCATTCCGTATGGAGCAAAGTGGTTTACCGAACCCTCATGTGCCAGGTCTTGCTGCCAGTCAAAGTCAGAGTGGAGACTCCTGGAGCCCCGGGGCCAAGAACATACCATACTGAGGCTCACACTTCACACTGGCTCTTAGACAGGACACGGACCTCCAGAGAGCAGAGAGATGGAGCCCTACCCCTGCCTTTGAGACCCAGCTAAAGCTGGGACAGGGGAGAGGGAAGGCACAAGCTAGGGAAACAGAGTGGGCACCCCCCTAAAGTCTTAACATCTGAACATCTCAGAGGATATTGTATCTCTCTGGCAGACAAAGAGTTTAGCTCCAGCAGCAAATCGCCCTCTCGTTGCTTCAGAGCAACTTAAGATAGTTCAACATTTTTAAAAAAGCTATCCTATTGATAACTCATTAATTTTTTTCAGGTATGTTTCTCATCTGAATTCTTTATATCTAATGAATTTTTATTTAAATTTTTTATTTTAACAATGTGGGGTACAATTCAGGGCTAGGTGTACAAATGTTCATTATGCAGATACCCTTGTGAATCTAATGAATTTTTAACAAGACCCTTCTCCTCAGCATTTCTTTGCATTCATTGTAGAACTATAATTGCTATGGTCCAGGCTCTCAGTCCTGGCCAGGCTTACAGAGGCAGTTAGGACAGGTCTTATCTTAAGGAAGTCAGATCCATCAGTGAGGGTTTTCATGTGAGGAATGCCATCATATAAATTAGAACAAGAGCTGAGAGTGTTCTTTTGGGAGGGGGGAGGCAGTTGGGAAACCCCAAACAGAGGCAGGAAAACAGTTCTGAGCATGAGAAGGTGAGGAGCACAGGCTCAGAGCAAGAGAGCATGTGAGCAGACAGGCAGACACTGGTGCAGATGGCAGCCAGGGGCCTTGGAGCTCAGAGGAGTGACAGCTGAGGAAAGCAGGAAAGGGACAGCTCTGATGGCGTCTTAAGAAGTCTATGGCCGGGCTCGGTGGCTCAGCCTGTCTTCCCAGAGTGGATTGCCTGAGCCCACGGGTTCAAGATCCACCTGGGCAACTTGGTAAGACAAGTTGGTAAGACTTGGTCTGTACAATAAATAAAAAATTAGCCGGGTGTGGTAGCACGTGCCTGTAGTTCCGGCTAGTTGGAAGCTGAGGCAGAAAGATCACCGGAGGCCAGTAGGTCGATGCTGGGGTGACCCTGAGTGTGCCACTGCACTCCAGCCTGGGCAACAGAGTGAGACTCCAACTCAAAAAAAAAAAAAAAAAAATCTATACTTTGCTCTATGGCTAGGAGGAGTCAAGGCACTAAAATTTAGAAAATGGTTTCAAAACATGGGCCTAACTCCAAATATGTATGTGCAAAGCATCTTGCTAACAGCACCGGTAAGACACAGAGCATGACCCAGAACATGTGCAGACAATAGAAATGAAAACAGCCCAGCAAGCATTTATGTAAGCTGCGCCAGCTGCAGCAGGGGACAGCCCGTGTGAGACACACATGCAGGAAGGTGTCATGGAGGAGAGTGCAGCCAAGCAGTGGAACTCATTTGAGGGGAGATCACTGGAGGGTTATGGTCAGAGTGAAGCCGTGGAGGGGAGGCAAGACATCACAGCGATTTCCACCCAGGACACTCTCCTCTCACCTGGGCGCCATGCCACTCCAGTTGTGAAAACAGGCAAAAGCTCCCCTTCTGGGACCTTCCTTTTTTCATCCTAAAAGTGGTAGCATTGTCATTTCTGCCTGATTTCCGGTCTCATTGAAATATCAAATAAAAAATTATACCGCGAGCGGCAATGCTCTGAAAAGTGTTGTAAAATCTTTAAACCTACACCAGACTGTCGTTGTCGCCTGGTGGCTTACTGGATACTCACACTGGGAGGTGCTTCTGCCTGGACCCAGCATGGGGAAAAAGAACGAGGTTCCCCCAAACTAAGGTTCCTTTGAAGGCCTCTCATAATTGAGTCTATATGGAATTCAAGACAGGGCATTTGCTGGATTCAGATGAGCCGTTGTCTATTCATGGGCACTGCTAGTATACAGCCAATATTCAGAGCCACACACGTGTTCTACAAGATCAAGGAAAATTGACTGTAGCTGGTGAAAGTAATGCAGCGCTAACAAAGGCTGTTGGGATGGTCCAAGGCAGTAAACAAATTAGAAATCCATCCATCCTTGAACTTCTCCTGTTTCTTTCAGCAGAGCTTGATGAATGATGTCCACATGACTCATTATAATGTTGTTTTGTTTTACTGAGCGCTAAAACAGCCTCAGGGTCTGACCTATGCCTCCTAACTGACATCTGCCTCAACTAAGCCTGTGGGCTGAAATCCCATTGTTTCCACTTCCAAAGGCTCAGCCTCCCGGGCTGGCTGAAACAACCCAGCAAGTGCCTTGGAGCAAGGCAGTTTCAGTGGC